GCATCGGGTCGTACCTGGCGCGAATGACGTTCATCAGCTCAGGCGACGCATTATGGACGATATTGTCCAGAACAAGCTAGTCTTCGCCTCCACGTGCGTCACTTACAGCCACCATGTAGAGTTAGTGCTCAGCTCATGTGCGCTTTGAGTCATTTTTTTGCATGAAAAGTTTCATCGATTGGCTTGCCGTGTTTGTCATTTTGGACGTTGCGAGCAGCTGGCACATGATGTAGTTGAGCGTCATTCTCTGGTTCCACCACGTGTCTACCTGGAGTCAGAATGATCTGCTCCTTGGCCTTTTGCCGCTCTAAAATTCGCCATGCACGTCATGTGTAACAGCATTATATCTAGATGTGGCGGCACTCGAGTTATGCGAAGTCAAATGATTTTGTCAACTTTGATACCACCTTATCTAATAGGATATCTGGCTGTGGGATGAACATTTTGTTGCGAGGCACGTCCATCATGCGTAATAGCCGCTTTGGTAGTACCGCTCAGCCGTGCCGCTAAGTTGGTGTCATAGCAGGTTGACGTTGACATCTCGCTTATGTGAATCTGCGAGCGGACTCGGACAGATTGACGGAGCGCAAAAGCGTGCGACCTCGATCTAAGAATCCGGATTCAAGTCTTTTATATAAGTTCAGTCTCGTCGAGCTTCCGAATTGACAGCTTACACTGGCTCTCATTTGATGTCGCGAAGAGCATTGACGTCATGGACGCTTGTGTTGCAGGTCGTGCTGCTGCTGGACCCTGAGCTGCGGCAGTAGTCGGATCTCGAGCTTGTCCGCGCTAATACGGCGGCGTCTGCCCACGTGGTGGCGCAAGCGAAGAAAACATCGTTGCTTCGATGTCAATTGTACGCGCAGCGAACTTCTGCTTGGGCGACTCCATGAGCGCGTCGATCGTCATCGGTCATGCACGCATGTTCGTACCAAGCGCAAATGCGAACATGCTGCTCTCGACAGCGCACAGCATGTTCTCATGTTTGTTGCGCTCGCGCTGCGAAGGCTCCATCTTCGCCATGCATTCGGTCAGAGCGGTGAGGGTCGCACGAATCTTGTCTTCAGTCGCCGAGTCGCGAGCTGGCGAGTCTTGAACGACTGCGACAGCGCGTGCTGGTGCGGCCGTATGGGCCGGAGATGCCCTTGCGTGACCTGGTGTTGCCGGTGTGGGTTTCGTGTCAGTCTTCTTAGCCATTGGGCTCATAACATGTTCGCACTTGATAGTTGTTTACACAATTTGATTCTGTACTAGCATGTCGTAGATTCCTAGCTAATTGTGTCCTACGCCCTCTGCTCCAACCATTCCAGGATGGCTGGCTGCTAGCCAATCTTCACTAACTATTTGCGCAGACTCTTCGTGACAGAAGTAACGGCCGGCGCCAATCGCATACTCACGTGTCCTTCCGCGACGCTACAAATCTGTCCCCATCTTTCGAGTTCACCTTCCACCACGATCTGCCATGCTCACTTCCCAACGCCGATATCCTCACCAGTTCAGCGAATTTACGCGGGCCAGAATGCTTCCTCCTCTGGTGTCATTGACCGAGACGAGCGACGAAGTGGTCGAGAGAGCTCCACCACCAATTTCTCCGTCGTTGTACAATTGATCGTCTCCAATGCCTGGCTTTCGAGCTCCATTGTCAACTGCTGCTGTCTACTCTCAAGGTTTGATAGTTCTGACCCTTTATTAAGTAAGCTAGTTGCTAGCTGCATGACAACAGCTTCCAGCACAATGCAGTCTTCGATCTCGTTAACCGCATGGTGTCGGCGTCTAATCTTGATCACGGAGGCAATTTAAATCGCGTAATTGTCGGTATCAGCTAGTCACAGTCTCCTCCCGGGCATTTAGTAAATTGGTTAATGGTTTAGTCGATGCCACCGGTCGAATGGATCCTGGGAAGAATGTGTTGAGCTATTTCGATACGATATGCATCGTGCAGAATCATTCATTGGTTCCGACCTTTTTGTCCCAACCTCGACGTTACCCGTGCAACGTGGAAACTGCTTTATCCCCTCCATAGACAGTGCCTGCGTGATAAAGTGTATCGGTCGAATCTTTCGAGCAATTTCAGTTACGGCAAGTGGCATACGACGGCTGAATGTAGTTTTCCATTAGTCAAGAAAGGAGCGACCTCTATCAAGGCTTGACAAGCTTTATAACCGTCGACTACACGACGCCGCTGCAAAGACAGTCAGCAGTTTGCCAGCCCCCACAAATTCCATCTACCCAGCATTATAAACAGATTCTTTGCAACGTCATGGTCTCCTTCTAGTCTATTATAATCTCTATGAAAGGCTCTCGTTGTTCTATCGCTGAGGCTCGATGTTTACAGCATCTATGGTCAGCTTGCTTACAAAATTTAACTTTCGACGTATTTGATCGCTTCATTAGATGCGTGGTTGTCACGTAGGGACAAAAAACATATTCACCGATGTCATCAAGTCGTTCATATAGCTCTGAATTTTTGGTTATATCACGATCAAACTTTCGTGTAAGCTGAAACCATGCAACTTACATTTGCGTTTAGATATAGCGCTTTTTAGGGGAGATGTCGTTATTTTGCCAGTGCTTGTCTAACAAGGACGTATTTTCGAGTGGCCTTACGATGTTTGCAGGGATAGATAACAGTATGACCAAGGAAATTCGGGCTACGATTAGTATCAAAATCATTGCATCGAGCAAAGTATCCTGAGCTTTATCCTGTCTTTGCTTACTACGTGTAAATCTCGAAGACCAACCATATTGAGTGGGTCACCGTCGAAGTTGATATCTTAGCAACTTTAACAGAGCAAATAAACCAACTAGACTCAAAAACGTTGGAAATGTATTGGAGTTATTGAGTAGGTCACTATAATGAATAGTCGAAGCTTGTGAAGCAGCGAAGCCACAAAGTTTTCCGGTCTCCGAAGACTGTGCGCACATATCGCGAAATCAGCAGCTTGACTAGGACAAGCGCACTCTTGCAAAGTACGTGTTCATTTCACCTTCTGATGCTAATTCATAAAAACACCTGCAGCTTTTTGTAGCGCGCTTCCAAACACCGCATTTTCATTCCCTTCTAATTTCACGATAAATTCTATGAGGCGCATTCTCAAAACACGAGTCTTATAATCGATTCAAATCTTCGGCAACTCATTTATATATACTTTTTTTATATGCAAGGTACAAGGTAACATCAGTTTTTTTAACCGTTTACAACAGGGTCTTTAAAAGCAGACCTGAAGGATTCTCCAATACCAAGCACATCGATACTTGGAGTGCCTCCTGTACATTAGAATCATAGTAGGTAAGGTAGCTCGTCCAAAAAAGGAGTAGATGGTTGTCGAAAAGGGTTTCTTTGGCCTTATCAAGTACGAGGTTAGTGAAGACAAAATATGGATTGCGACCTTGCCAAAACCAGAGGTCTTTAACTTTGGTTTCCACTCGCAACGCGACTTTGTCTTTTGGGGCCCTAGTCGCAGCGACCACCACAGTTTCGATATCATAAGACTAGAAGTCTGGAAAGCAAGCTTTGTGCAACGGACCAATAGTTACACGAGTCCGCTAAGCACGGAGGTTTGACGGTTTGAACGCTTCCTCGCGTGCTTGAAGGTGTTTTAAAGTAGCACGCGCGCTTATAGAAGTGCCGTCTACAATTTGAGCCGGCATGTTACTTTGCTGAAATCGTTAATGTACTCTACCCAGTAGATCTGCGGCTGTTCGAAAAGGGTGTCTCCTGCAAATGAAGCCCATATAGTTCTAAAACATCCTTGGGTCTATATGATTCTTAGAAAAGCACTTGTCCGCTTCATCAAAGATCTTGGCCCAATCTTCCTTATAACAAAGGTGACATAACGTCTCTGAAAGCCTTTTTGGGCTTTTCGACTACTTTTGTTTCAACGTTCAGCACATGTGCATCGTTCATTTGGCCAAAAATTCATTCTTTACAGTTTAACAAATCTTGGCTATTCTGTTCTCGGGTTCCAACATATCTGCCGGACGCTTTTAGTATTCTTGATCGCGGAATCTGATGCACCTTCGAGGAGATGCGAGTTAGAAGCGAGAACTAAATGTTTTTAGCCACACGTTCGAGGGAATTTGAGCGTATTATTTCTTCGTCAAAGCTGACACCGACTCATCCTCTCTTCTATGTCTTCGCCGTGCACGCTCTTAAACCCTTAAGTGCCTCTGGACTTCAAATTGACCATCTGTGGTGACGACGTCCAACGGCTCTGCATGTGCACCAACACCCACTGGGCTGGTAGTAACAGCCAAAAGTCGAGACGCAGAGAATCCGCATGGATTTAGTTGAATAGACGGGTTTACGGTCTGGCGGCAAGTTTAGTAATGATAATGGGCGACTGTGGAGGAAAGGTACCGGTAGTGTCAGGTCGCAAGGTACGTGCGGTGCGACAGAACGTGTGTTAGGGTTGCGCATAGTGGATAGGCCATGACTCCACAGTCTGGCGTCATTAAATGGCGTCACAGCCTGGCGTCATTAGATGGCGTCACAGCCTGGCGTCATTAGATGGCGTCACAGCCTGGCGTCATTAGATGGCGTCACAGCCTGGCGTCATTAGATGACGTCACTACGAAGCTTCAAGAAGGAATTAGATGAGTAGGCTTAGAGGTAGCACAGGGTAGCAAACTAAGGACCTACATAATCTTCAGTTTCAAATATACATAGTGAACAAAAGTCTTCACATCTGGTAGCACTTGTTGGTCCTCGCCCTTCGCCGTCACCTCCGTGCTTGTAGTGCTCGACGCCCCTTCATAACCGCCGACCCCACCGTGCTCTCCATCCTTTGACCTACGCCGTAGCCGCTCAAGAGCAATGATTAGGAGAGACCATTCGTAAGTCCCAATTTTTTCGAGGGCAGGGACTCCTTTTCATTAGATGTATATCCTACCGAGCCATTACTACTGCCACCGTTATCGAGATCGAAGTCTTTATTGGCTGTAAATCTTCTCACCGGTAATAAGTCAGTTTGGTTAACGGGAGGTCAGTACTTCGGTTCATGGCCCGTCACCCGCGCAAGCAACCCACCAAACTCGACATCAACGACTCGCTGGCCCAGCTGTCCATGAAGAAGCCAGACGCAGCTGACAAGTGCCGTGAGGATCTGCTGGAATCGATCCACCGCACCAGCCGCATTCTTTGCCACTTCGAGAAACACCTGGACACGGTTCAGCGCGCCGACTTGCGCAAACCTATAAAGGCTCGTCTACTCGGGCACGCCAGTGAATTGCTCAGCTTCGAGAGCACTGTAAGTCTGCGCATCTCATGCGAGATTACTAAGCACAAAAGCACCGTCCAATTTTCCTTATTCTGGGCCGCCGGGATACAGAATTGTAATCGCCCGCCAACAACCGACCGCCAAGTCAGCAAAGTCATTGAAGCCCGGACCGAAGGTTGTCAAGAGAAGCATCAAGATCCTAAAACGACCCACAATTAACCAATTACAGATAGATAATCATTTATATCAGTTAGTTACTGCATTAGTTTCATAATGTCCACCCCGATGACCTCAGATCAGCATGCATATTTGTTGCACACTATGGTTGCGACTATGGAGAAACAAGCGCTGTTACTCGAGCAATTCCAAAGGTCGAAACAGCTATTGAAAATCAAGTTAGAGAGTGTGAAGCCTCTAACGTATGGGGGTAGATTGGATGAATCATTCCAACTCTACAAGGAGCAAGTGGAGCAGTACTTCTTTGCAAGAGGAGTGAACTGGGAGATTCAGGAAATTTCTCAAAGAATACTCGCCGACTTAGGTGGGACACTAAAGAAAGGAGCCGCTAAGTGGTATATGATGCAAAAACAATATGACACAAACGTGGAAGATTTCTTTAGCAAAGTCGGAAGAGAATTCGTTCCTGCTGATTTGCAAGAACGTCTGCGCGAAGATATCAACAATATGTGAGAGAGCGATTGCGAAGATCTCCTGGATTATGTGTGCAAATTTCGCCACGTAGCCACTCAAGTCCGAGTTATAAGCGAGTTGGACCAACTCATGTACTTCCTACGTGGACTTACAGGTCGTACGCGGGAAGAGGGTCAGTACCGTCGATGTACAACACTTTCCGAAGCTATTACTGTTGCATTGGACTTTGATCGCTCTTATCTTCAGCGACATTCCCGAGTAATTTAGCCCGGTAAAAAGAGGTACAGGTCGTATGAAAATGTCGTCGATATCGATCGAACAATGGTCCTGAGCCAATGGACATTTGCAACGTGCAGGTCCCGTCTAGAGACGAATGTCGTCGCCGAATTTGTGCTTTAAGTGCGGTAGTTTGAATCATCGATCCGCACAGTGTAATCATCGCCAACCACGTTATGATATAGGAAACAATCGTTCAGGCCGAAGCTATCGGCAGCATGTAGATCGTCAGCATGTCAACAATGTGGACAGCCGTGAGGACGAAGAGAACGACCAAGAATCCATTTTTTACGATCGTTTCACGATCAATGCCATGGAGGTCAGACGGAAGACTGAGGAAGAACCTATTAACTTCGTATCAAGCAACGTTCAATCGGACATGCCAGCGCAGAGTCGACTTCTAGTGCGTGATAGTGTCATTAGAGGCAACTCCGTCAAGACTTTGATCGACTCTGGTGCATCAACAAATTTAATCCGACCCGGTCTGGCATCGAAAGTATCAAGCGAACAGAAGGTACGAGCGCGTCGTTTCGATGGAATGTGGACATCAAGTCATACCACGAAGAGAGTAGAAGACACAATTTATATAGAAGGTATGGAGTTTTCACGGATCCAGTTCACGAAGTGGGACCTACCGGATACGCACGACTTAAAATTTGAAAAACCATGGTTTACCAAGTACAGCCCACAAATCGATTGGCGTACGCACCAGATCCAAATAGATGCCCACACGACGTTCGTAGACTTGGATGGTCCTATTATTTAAGAAAGTGAAACGTGGAGTCTTTGATGAGATATACCACTTGGAGGCAACCAACGTCGACCAAGCAGAAATACCGCAGGAGTTAATTCCACTTCTGGACGAGTATAAATATGTATTTCCGGAACAACTACCTAACGAGATGCCTTCAACGCAATCAGTTAACTTCGAGTTGCAAATGAAGCCTGATTCGATTCCGAACTCCCGTTCTCCCTTCCGTCTTTCAAAGGTTAAGCAGGACGCACTGCAGCAATTCGTTGAGCTGAATATACGAAAATGATGGATAGAAATATCAAACTTTCCATGGGTCTCAGACTTTTTTGGATTTCCAAAGAAAGATCATGCAACCAGAAAGTTCCTTAAAAGCGTCGATTGGCTCCGAAGCGGCAATTCGAAGATAGCCATTCTATGGGTAATTGACTACCGCTATGTTAATACCATGTCCGTCGTGGCAAAAATTCCTCTGCCATTGATCAAAGAACTATTTGACCGCATGGTTGGATGCACGTATTTTACGCTTTTCGATCTAGAACAAGGGAACCATCAAATGGTAGTGATACCGTCGAGTCGGCCCTACACGGCTTTTAGAACCCACAAAGAAACGTATCAATGGTGTGTCGCACCGATGGATTTATCGGGTATGCTGGGAGTCTGGTCACGTCTTATGCGAACTTTGTAAAGCTAGGATAATTTGTTGTCGTGTATCTTGACGACATCTGTATCTTCTCCCTTACAATGGATGCCCATGTCATTCACGTTCGCGCGTTATGCGACGTGTTGCGCAAGGGAAAGCTGTACGCTCGTTTCTCCAAATGCGCTTTTGGTCGTCAGGAAATCGAATTCTTAGGTCATATGGTTTCCGAAGATGGTCTGCGGGTCGACCCAAGGAAAATCAATACAAGTGCGACATTCCAAGCGCCGATATGTCGCAAGGAGAGCTGAGTTTTTTGGAACTAGCGGGATATTACCGGCGATTTATCTGCAATTTTGCACGGATATCGCGTCCTCTTAGAGACTTAATCAAGTACGATGCGCAATGGACTTGGGGGGAGAATTAACAGAAAGCTTTTAACTTTCTAAAACTAGCACTTAAGCAATCTCCGACGCTAATGTTGTCGAACTTTTCACACAAGTCACCGTAAATGCGGATGCTTCTGGGTTCTGCGTGGGTAGTGTTCATTCGCAGCGTATCAACGACAACGACCACGACATTGCATTCTATTCGAAACATCTGGGACCACACGAATTCAAATGACCAGCCCACTAGAAAGAGCTGCTATCCATCAAGACTGCTCTAGAACAATGGCGTCCGTATCTCTATGGAAGACACTTTTCAGTCTACACAAACAATTCAGCGTGCAAATGGATGCTCCACCATCCCAAAGTGTCTCCCAAGATGGCTCGAATGCTGACGTTCTTTTCCCAGTTTGACTTTGTCTTACATCATGTGAAAGGACGGTCAAATGTCGTAGCCGACGCGTTATCTCGTCCACCAGTGTCTGGCAAGCATTACAACCAGCCCACGGTGATTACGTCCCATGTTCCCGATCTGTCGCACGCTGTACATGAGTGTACAGACGAGTGTAATATTCCCTTTACTCTTTTGGACAAGCACATGATGCACTCTGTCCTCCTTTAGTACATTCCGCTGGATGTCTCCCAGCTCTTACTTGACGATGTGGAGCTGCGGGGGGAGAGTCGTCTGATAGGAGTCGCTCAGGAGCAAATCCCACAACGCCGAGTTTCACGTTGTGCGCGCACATAGCAGCAACAAATTGAGGAAAGCGTATCAGCACGGATATCGCAAGGATAAGTTCTTCAAGAATATTTAGGAAACAGAGCAGTCAAATGACAACTTCATAATTGACAAGGACTCATATATCTAAAGCAAGATGATGCAATGCAGCAAATACGCATTCCAGACATGCCGAAATTAAAGACGAAGATTCTATATAATTTTTAAGACGCAGTCACCGCAGAACATCCATAAGTTCGCAAAACTTACATGAAGCCGGGGATCCCCCCTGGTGCCTTGGGTAAGCACCGGCCTGTGTCGTAAGTGGCGCGGATTCAAATCCCCCTTCGACCAATCCAAGGTACAAAAACAATGTAGCACACACTTCTCTCACTGGTACCCCCCCGGGAACCATGGTACCAATGAGTACGGCCTCTCGTAGAAGCATGAAACCCCAATACAACTTAATTGGGGCTATCCGGACTGGTTGGCACCCAGAACCTCCGGCATAACGCCCTTCCATGTCACGGTAGCCATGGCAGGTCAGGGATGTGTAGGCCCTCGCCGAAGAGGACAATACTAGGTCGTTAGAAATACTGAAGGTACCGGCTGTACCTAAGAAAAAAAACCTACATGAAGTTGAAACAATGGTACTACTGGCCGCATATGCTTAAGACGGTGCAGAAGTACATCTAGACATGTGAAAAATGCACTCGATGGAAGTCAAACAGCCAAAGAAAGAAAGGATTAATGATTCCTATACCCATTCCGGAGGAATGCTGGGAAGTAGTGTCAACGGACTTCATCACTGGACTACCCGTGTCGGAAGGGTATGATGCTATTTTCGTCGTCGTAGACAAGTTGTCAAAGAGACATATTTGTCCACCAACGTATACGACTGCCGCTTCGAAAGACACCGCAAAATTGTTTTTTGACGCCGTAGTTCGACATCATGGACTGCCAAAGGTAATAATCAGCGATCGGGATCCGAAGTTCACGGCAAACTTCTGAAAGAATTTAACGAACATAGTGGGTGTCAAACTAAGCATAACAACGCTCATAGGGCGCAAGCAGATGGACAAACAGAACGCCAAAATCTGGTGTTAGAGAACGTTTTACGCTGCTGGTAGCCTACAGTGGAGAGAATTGGGTCAAGCTACTTGGTACTGTAGAGTATGCGCACGCCACCTCAGTGAATGCGTCCACAAAGCTCACCCTGTTTGATTTTGATACCGGAGGAAAGGTTCCCAATTTGACTTCGCACGAATACAAATGATACGATGGTCTGGACACACACCCAATCTCAGAGTTTGCTTAAAAGTTCGCCAAAGATCGTCAAGACGTAGTGCGAAAGACACGAAAAAACCTAGAGCAAGCCCAAGAAAGACAGAAGAAGTACTACGACTCTAAAAGAACAAAACTCACCTTTAATGTCGGTTACTTGGTTCTACTGGATACCAAAATTTACCGTTAAGGACAGTCAACGCTCACATTGGGTTAAAAAAGCAAAGCTCGCGGCCAAAAATGTCGGACCGTTTGAGTCAATCAAGATGATCAACCCGAATGTAGCGAAGTTGAAGCTACCACGAAATATGAAGAAACTGCACTCATCGTTTAACGTCGATCTACTCTTTCCATACAAGCCGAATGCCTCTGATTTCACTGGACGACCGATTCCAAAAACATCACCGGTTATCCTAGAGGTAAATCCGGGAAAAAAAGACTTCACATTGTGGAAAGGTTGCTTAGCCGTCGTCAGCGCAGCCGTTAAATAGAATGTCTAGTAAAATGGCACGGCCTCCCGGAGTGTGATACTACTTGGGACCGCGAGAAATCTATCCGCCACGTTTCGCATTGGCAGCGACTAGTACAGGATTTTCGAGACCGCCAACGCGAAGTCAAGTCCGGGGAGATGTCAGGTCGCAAGGTACGTAGAGCGTGTGTTAGGGTTGCACATAGTGGATAGGCCATGACGCCACAGTCTGGCGTCATTAGATTGCGCCACAGCCTGGGGTCATTAGATGACGTCACTACGAAGCTTCAAGAAGGAATTAGATGAGTAGGCTTAGAGGTAGCACAGGGTAGCGAGCTAAGGACCTATATAATTTTCAGTTTCAAATATACCTAGTGAGCCAAAAGTCTTCACAGGTACTCCCTACAGTCAATTCACACCGGTACATGAACAGACGTACCGATAATGTACATTTGGAGAGCTTTTGTCTGTCTATCTAAATGTATATTAGTCGTCATACATATGAAGAGACAGGCAATGAGCAGCTGTAATTTTTATCAGCTGCAGTTTAACATGGTGGATACAGTAGAACCTGTCTATAATAATACTGTAAGGACGCCAATGCTTTATGCATTCATAGAATGTATCATTTAAGACTAGTATAAAACAATTGCTAGTCGCCGATCAGGACCAACGCATATAACTAAATTATGAGGATTAATTTTTTACGAAGGTCTAATTTAAACAGGTTCTACTGTATAAGATAAATAAGAGATTACGAGTGAATTCGATTTGAGAGAGGTAGACGAGTCTATTAGGTTGCGATACAGGCCAAAGCTGCTCGGTAACATCATCGATTAGCAGTGCTGAATCACGACCCTGCACTGCTTCGTAAACCCTCAGTAAACCACTGATCCCAATGAGGTCTTTTGCCGCAATATCGATCCAGCGTGAGCATGAAGTGTACCGAAGTTTGCGCTCTTGTCATCAGTGCGTCAATTCGGCTCATCGAAGATGCCTACGGAAATTCGCTTTCGACATCTTGATTGCCATTGTCTCCTCGATTGATCGCCGTAATCAATATTAGCAACTACCGCCGGCGATGATGACGGTTTTCGCCACGGTGGTCTATACGATCGTAGCGGCTTTGTCGACTGCTGTCTCGCTGTCGGTCCTGAAACCGGTCTTTTCTTGAATCACCACGAGAGTCCTGGCCAAATTCATTGCGCGAGTCGATCGTCATATAGTCCTGCATATGGAACCATGACAACAAACTTAGTCGATAATTAACATGACGAACATCCAAAAATGCGTTCTTACGTCAGTCGATGGCTCGTTACCAGAACGAAATTGGTCCTGCAGTATTTGTAAGCGACAAATAATAATAGAACTGTAAGTTTTGAAACACAGAACCAAAGCACAACGATGAGAATAGCTTACATCAATATGTTTCTTGAACTTGAGCTTGGCAGTCATCCACGAGTTGTCGGCATTCGAATCATCATTGTCGTCATCGTCTTCCAGAATCTGGCCATGGTAGCTCTGTGCGCCGTCCTTCTTGGTTGTGTCTTCGATTGCATCTTCTGCAGGACTAGTTGTTTTCGCATTCACATCAACCAGCGCCGCCTGAAATTTCTTCAGTTTCAAAAGTGTGTCTTGCTCTCGTGCACTGCGATTGCTAGCCTTCTTTCGCTGTAGATACTTTTGCCGCTGCTGTTGTAGCGGAGTGAGCATATCCTGGAAAGCTCGGCCTTCTTCCAGCTTCTTTGCTTCTTCGCCCATTAGGAGCGGAACAGACTTCTTCGACTTCCGTAGCTCCTCTCGTAGTTTAGCATACTCCTGTTGGCCCTCCTCCTGGGTCTTTGAGCCTACAGAAAATTTGTCGCCGTTCTTCGAGATAGTACTTTTGTCGGCATCTTCCGTCTTTTCGCTTGAAGCATCCTTGCTAGAAGCCGCTGCGACTGCTGCTTTCAGGTTTGCTCGTGCTCGCTCTTTCTTTTCCTCACTGGTCGCCTTAGCACTCGTAGCTATGACCCTTTTTAGCACCTCAGCATCCACATCTGACTTCAGCTTGCGATCGTCTAACAGATCGTGGCTACTCATCATCGTTTTAGCTTTCTTTTTCTTCTTGGCCTCGTCATTCGTTTCTTCCTGAAAAACCTCCTCTTCGTCACCAAACGAGAGCAATTTCAAGTCTCTTGTAGCCTTTCGCTCCCGCTTCTTCTTTTTTGCACTGTCCTCAGTCGTCGATTCATTGCGTTTAACAGCTCTACTCACCACAAAACCAAGTCACAGCTTCAAAACTCCAGAAAAACTCACAAATGAAATAACCCAGCAGAATAACCAAAGTTACCGTGGAACAATATCCTCAAATGGGTTCCAGAGCACTTCCACACTTGTTAACTTTGGTGGATTAATAGGCCGATCCTGTGCATCCGTCTCTAGTTCTCCAACACTCAACAAATTGAAAATAGTATTACCAGTCACCTAAACAATGTATCACAACAAAATGAATAAGTACTAAATGAAAAAGTGCCCACCAAAAACCTCCACTCCTTTGAATACCTTGCCGAATATCGTGTGTTTCTTGTCCAAGAAGTCACAGGCCCCAAGCGTAAAGAAAAATTGCGAATAATTCGAGTTCAGTTTGTTCTCATTAGCCATAGCCAGCAGTCCACGATGATTAAATCGGAGTCGAGAGTGGAATTCATCAATAAATGCACCTCCATAGATACTCTCTCCTCCATTACCGGTACCCGTAGGATCACCTCCTTGCACCATAAAGTCGGTGATAATCCGATGAAAAATAGTATGGTCATAATACTGTCATATCAAATACATTGTAAGAATGAACTAAAAAGTCAAAACTCGTGATTATTATTTATTGCAGGTTTTAGAGCACTTCGTACCCCTTCCAAGCAAAGCTGCACAAAGTTACGACACGCTTTGGGTGCCTGCTGTGGCCACAGCTCTACATCCAGATCTCCAAAGCTTGTATGTAGCAGCACCTTGCCTTCCGTATTTGGCTCCGTAATGTAGATATTCGACATGACACGCACCACAGCAATAGATAATAGTTTCTAGAATGACTCGCTTATTTTTGAAAGTATACTGAGTGCAAGTCTAAACCGATTTGTGAGAGTGAAAATGGTGGAGACAACAATAGTCATGCATAAGATATTTTCCTTCAATGGATGGATCCCCGTTACGATCAGGAGGTGATTGGTGTATTAGATTCAACTCATTCGAAAAGAGCTTAGCCAGACAAAGCACCTAGAACTGGCGGAACTGCTTGCGTACGTTGATAGGCTTGGTCTCCGATGCAGGCTCAACCTCCAGCACGTTGAAACGCACCGTCTTGGCGAGCGGACGGCACTGGCCGATGGTGACAACATCACCCTCCTTTACACGGAAAGCCGGCGACAAATGGGCAGCCACGTTCTTGTGACGTTTCTCAAAACGCTTGTACTTCTTGACAAAGTGCAGGTAATCACGACGTACGATAATCGTGCGCTTCATCTTTGTCGAGAGGACGACACCCTTGAGGATACGACCACGAATCGAAATGTTGCCGGTGAACGGACACTTCTTGTCCACGTACTGGCCCTCAATGGCGCTTTTGGGGGTCTTGAAACCCAAGCCCACCTCCTTGTAGAAACGAGGGCCTTTCTTCTTGCCTGCAAATTTCTTGCTGGCAAGGAAGACACCCTGCTGCTTCTGGTAAGCTTTCTCAGTCTGTATAATCGTATCAAGAACAACAACAAGTAGTGAGTCTTTCTGCTGGTACAACAAAACAGCAATAAAGAGTGAAAGAGGGAGAAGAATGACAAAAGAAAGAGAGAGAGAAAAGAGTGAGCTGATTCTCTTTCTCCCTCTTCTTCTGCTGTAGGTTCAAGATGCAGACAGCTTTAGTGTGAATCGAGAAAGATCCAAAGAGTCTCTGCCGATGATGAATCGGTTGAAAAACGTTTTCAGTCGTTCGGGGTTTCGTAGTCTCAGCTGAAGGAAGAGGAGAAAAAAAGAGAGGCCACACCCAGCAAGAGACACATTGACTCTTATGCTTTTTACTCATGACACTCGTCCATCTCGTTTTCTTCCTCTTCCTGCTTTTGACTCAACAATCACTCAAGAGAGAGAAAAAAAACATTGAGTGATTGTGTGTGGATTACAGCCTTGGTGGGCCATCACCCCAACCAACTAGCTAGCCAGTTCCTTCAGTTATTCTTTTCCTCCAGTCTTTCGTACGAAAAAGACTCGAGAGAGACACTAGAAAACAACCAGCTCCAAGAACACCACAACGAAATAAAAAGACAATTGCTTGTCCTTCCCTCCCCTTTAGTCTGATCTCTGTCTGATCTTACCACGCGCTAATCGATCTTTTATCAAAGATAAAGCATCTTCTTCTTTCTCCTCTTTCTCAATGATTTAGAACATTACAGTCACAAGGTTTTTTAGGGGTCAAAAGTACCTGATCAACGTGCTCCATAATGTCGTCAAGGGGATTCACTAATGACTGGAAATGATGACGGACATTTGTTTTGGTCGATTGGTTAGGGTGTGTTACTTCTGGTAGGAGAAAAGTAAAGGTATGAAGTAGGTTTTTGAAACATGTTTACAACAGATAAACAAATGTATAAAATGATTGAAACAGCTTAAAGTAAACATCATCTTTTGTTAAAAGCAGGTTTTTTTACCGTCAAAATCTGCTTTAACTGACCTGTTTTAACTAAAGACTCCCAGTAAAGCGCTTAGTCACGTAACGCCACAAGCATTATTTGCTGCATGAGTTCTCTGTAATTGGGTAATCAGCAACTCACTCCTCCTTATTGGTGATATATTGCTTCACTTCCATTGGGTTTGCCTTGTACCCTTGAAGACGAAAGGATGAGTTCTGGAAGGCCCACAAAAAGCCTCCCAGTGAGCCCAACACACCCGTAACAACCATGGATGGTACAGCCACGTGACGATGTAGCTTTAAACCTGCAGAAACATCATAAGAAAATAACAATGAATTGTTTATCAATCAATGATTCGATTGCTGGTGGCTAACTATACACGCACCGAAGACGTAGCCAGCGGGGAAGGAGAATGCGCTAATTCCGAGCCAACGAAAGTAGTCGCCTCCGTTAAAATTCGACTTTACGTCACTAAACGTCGGGTGCTTAACGATCACAGGGAAGCGTGGCTCGCGTGGGTCGCGGACGGGGATGGCGTCACTCATGCCAACGATTGATAAAAGTTTACAGCTTCTGTTTTTTTGTGTTTAGTAAATTCAAACCATTGAAAAGACTGTTATAAATAATTAAACCGCTTAAATCGTATCCAAATAATATGGACCACAAGGCTGGAAATCTAGTAATATGTATATGTAAAATTTATGAAATGTTGTCATACATTCTAAATAGCTTTACTCAAATTATATTAAATTCAATCATAGTTCCTTCGGCTGAACTTGTACATGTGAAGTAAACACTTGTACCTTATTTGTCTTGTAGCAAAAAAAAAGAGCGACTCGTTGCTTTATTTTACATAATGTTGCTTCATCTCTCTCTTCATCACTCGGTTGAGTCTTCCTTGTCTTCATTGACGTCTGGTAGATTTTCCTTGTTGAAGACGACACGAATCGTGAGCGAGCAACTCGGACATGTGGCAATGTCCTCACCATCATGAAGTTCTTCAAGGTCGATACTAAAGCGATCACCGCATGGACACGGATAATAAAACACCTGTTCCTCCTTGTCAAACTCCATGTCTTGAATCTCTACTTCGTCGTATACGGCCGCCATGATCTTATACAGTAAGTAGCCACTTCCTTGACCTAGCGTAGCCACAAATTTAACAATGAAACAATCATTCTGATGTAACCTGTAAAACCTGATTAACAGAGGAATGTACTTATTTAAGGTAAGGTAAATTGAAATAGCAGCGTTTATAATTTCGTCAGTACAATTAATTTTTTCAGCTGTATTTCATTCAGCTTCCAGCGAAATGGCTACACAAACCTATTGGTCTCATGGTCTTCCAATACTTTTTTCAACTTAGTTTGTTGTTTTGCCAAACAAACGGGTCAAGAAACCTGAAGACTGAGCACCAACGTTGGCAGATACTCCCGAAGCACCGTTTATACTAACTACTGCATCACCAATTTGCGATTTTCGTCGACCACCACCACGAATTGGTCGAATTACGCCATCGCCATTGTAAATCGACCCACCACGAAGGGTCTTGATCACACCAGTGTCAGTACTTCCCAAAGCAGTCACAAGAGCAGCATTCGTGTGGTTCAGCTGCGCTTCAAAGTGCGAGCGCTGAGCACCACGAAAGTCTGCTATCTGGTCACGAAGATGGGTAAGTTCCTCCACGTGCTTTTCTGCCTGTGATCGCATGTTTCCAGCCATGATGCGATTGTTGACCTCCACTTGTTTAATGCGCTCATCACGCAACGCCAGCTTCTTTTTCGCTTCCAATAGCTCCAATTCAAGTGACGCGTATTTTCGTAACAATTGCCGGTGTACAGCGACGAGTTGCTCGAGCTTCTGTTGGATCGAGCGCATGTGCTGCCGCTCACGCACCGACGTAACACTCGAGTTGGTAATGCCACCGGTCGGCGAAGAAGGTGTCGAACCACCCTCACCAGTCGATGCACCAGCACGATCAGTTTGCGCTTCGAGGTTACGGATTCGTATCGTCTTACGGTCTATCTCCTGTTGCAGACGAGCCTTGTCGTAACTGGTCGTGTGTCTGAGCGCAAGGTACTCTTTTTCGTACTCTCTCAGTTTGGCTTCAAGTGCCATGTACTTCGCCTTCAGATCCAAGTACGGCTGCGGCTCCGTACCGTCTGGGTTTTCCGTCAGTGCTTCACCTTCCAATTTCTGCTCTGGGTCCTCTGCAGCACCCTCACCTGAACTATCTTGAGACTTCTTCTCTGCAACCTGCTGGTTTGCTTGAGCAAATTTCCCCGCAGCCGCTGCCAACTTGCCACCTCCAGCTGCTAATTTTTGAGCTGGCATGTCTTGGAATAACGCGTTGTACTCGCTCTGTATCGTTTCCGAGTGAATTTGAAGTTCCTTGTGATCGAAGTTGAGCCTATCAAAGTCTGTGCACAGTTCCGAGTACAAAGTCTCGCGTTGGCGAATTTTTTCTTCTAACATTGTTTGCTGCAGTTCCTTTACTTGCTGCAATTCCTCCGACAGCACGCGTTGCGTTCCAAGCGCTTGAATATGCTCCTCAAGCTTCGCCGTGAGCAATTGGATCTCCTCACCGCGTCGCATCGATTCCTGTTTCTCCTCCGCTAGCTCCTCTTCGAGCTGAGCTACCTTCTCCTGTAACTCTGCCAGCGCACGCCCAGCTCGAGCTGTGGGCAATGGCAGTGCTTCTATAGTCGCAGTATCTGGCTGCAAGTCCAGCTTTCCGTCGAGCGCATTGTTACAGCTGTTAGGTTTAATCTCTGCATCATCACTCGAGGTTGTGATACTAACAGCAGATGCCACATCTTCGTCTCCATCAGGAGCTTCCTTCCCTGCAAGGCGAGCTTCAAGCGCGATAATGTCCATCTTCTGCTTTGCAATTTGCTTCTCAGCCGCAGCGAGCAGTGACTCGTACTCAGCAACACTGCGCTGTTCGTTGACCACTGCCTTATTCTTTATCGATTTAGCACGCATGCCAAATCGCAGCGTAGAAACTGTTTCCAACGCATTGTAGCTGCTTGGCGAAACGTTGATGATTAAAGCTGTGCGTGAGTTGCCACCAATTGATTCCTGCAGCACTCGGGTAAGCTTACTGTCACGATATGGCACGTGGGTTATATGTGAGTCTGTAAGAGCATTAATGACCATGCCCAATGCTGACAGCGATTTGTTAATCGTCTTGGCCTCTTCAAGCTGACGACCAGTTGCACCAGTCTTGCGCACCATTTCAGAACCGGCAAGATCCACCAGATACAATTTGCCGGCCTTTGTGGCCTGATTTTTCAAGTTGCGCTGAAACAGCGTCACCATAAAGACACTATGACTGCGAGAACTTCCTTCATTCATTCCCGTTGCAGCCACAGCACGGTTCGCAGCACCCGCTCGCATAGCTGCCAGCAGCTCCTCATCACTCGTCACACACATCTCTGTCATTCCTTCGACGAAAATGCCACGCTGTGTGTCCTCACGAACTTGAAGGTTCACCTTGGACTTGTACGGATCCAGTAAGTCGCGGACACGCTCCATGTAGATCTCAATGTAGCTCACTTTCACGATAAATTCCATGTTCTCGTCAGCGTTCATGACATTATTAAAGATCTCTGTTGCCGTACGTGGGATAATACCCTGTAGTTCCGGATGATCAATGTTAGCTCCTTCCATAGTATACGTTTTCCCTGACGATGTCTGACCGTAGGCAAAAATAGTAGCATTGTATCCATCCATAATATCTGTCAAAAGAACCCCATTAATCAGTCTAAAGTTACTTGTAACGTAGGGTCGTATATATATATATACATAGCACCCCTTTACCTTGAACAACGGGGAGTGCTACACTCTCAAAAACTGTCTTTTGATTATCATGTTCCCCAAATACATGATCAAATGTAAATTTCTGTGGATTTCCATCATTCGTCTGCAAAATGTGACATGAAAGTGTTACTTTTATAGGGACTTGACCCCTTCCCCTATTACATCACTACCTTGACTTCAATAGTTGTCTCGTCTGTCAAGACACAGCGCTGAGCTGTAGCCATCGTAAGCTCTTTGGCATTCTGTGGACGTACGCGGCAACAAACACGTACATTTCCCATTTCATTCTGCTACATTTTAATCGACATATTAACAAAAAAATTAAAGCTATAAGAAGGATAAAAAATTGCTCTAAGATAAAGAATACTTACACTGGCAGATGAGGAAGGACGCGTCATTGATCTTGTAATGCCTAGGATGTAGCCAAATTATACCGACTGAATGGAGCTCTCTGAAGTAAACAATTAGTTGTCGTATTTAAGAGAAATATGCCATTTTTTAGCTGGAATTAAGGGACGAGTAGGACAGAATTAGCAGGATTGGAAAATGCACGTCCGGTACATAATCAGGTCGAGTTTGTTGGTAGTCAGCATGTTTGCTGACAATCATCGGGTCATAGTCTCGGGATTCTTCAATACTAAAACCTTGACGTTTGGCAATGACACAAAAGCGTTCCATTGAACCATTGCGACTTGGTTGCAAGAGCAAACACCGTCCCGATCCATTACGCAAAAGATTCTTGATCGTGTACGCGAGGTCTTCGTGAAACTCTTCGAAAAAAAGACAGTCACTGGCAAAGACGAGATCAAACTGATGCTGCAAGTCTTTCTGGAAGCTGGCGTTGCGGTCCCAACGCAGTAGCTTGGTCGAGATTTTGACGCTTTGAGCCTCAAATGGTATCACATGCTGCATCTTGTTCTCTTCAATACAAAGTTGTAGGTTTTTCACAGACAACGGATTCCCGTCTGTCACTAAGACGTGTTGGAGCTCTACTGGTGCACAAGCAAGTAGCCCCAAGCTAGCGAGCCCTGCCATACCACTGCCCAATTCACAGCATGTAATGGGCAATAGATTGCCACTTGTATCTTGTTGCTGCACTTGCGAGCACACATTACTGGATAGTAGATACGACAGTAGAACCTGCTCGGACGGCCACGTCCGAATGTTTCCCGTATTGTCCACACCCTGATTTACCTGATGGCTCAACAACTCCGCAATGGACACCCGTTTCACATCCTTGCGCTTCTCATGTACATACACTCTTGTTGCTCTTCTTCCTGTTGTTTTAGTCACGTCACAAGGCAAATCGTACGCCATCCACACCCAATTTTCTTGCACAGGAGAATGCATTCCAGTGTCAACCTGAATGCCTTGATACAAAGGGAAAAACTCGGTAGCAATGGATGATGCAGTTACTTCAGAGTCATTTGATGATATCGACGTGTCATGACGTGTCGATTGTAACAACGCATTGCGTAGGACGCGCCAGTGACGACTCATCGTGTCAGGCTTGGTCGTCATGTTTGGTAATACCGGTATTAGTAGTGGTGGTACTGCTAGACTTTTTTTCTGAAGTAACAAACTACATAATTACAACCTTGTCATTAATCACTTGAGTGACTCGAACGATCTTTTTCACTTCAGAGCGCAAGAAGCCCCCAAACGGTCAAGATGCCGCTTGAATCAACGATGATCTGGTGCGTTTCCCATCTTCCTCTATACTTTGTGTCACGTTGATTAGATACCTCTGTCTACTGTCTATCATTTCATGTAACAATACTTTTTTATTGTTTCGTATTGATACTTTTGTGCTACTTTTTGTTCCTCCAGTTTGGACAATTCGGAATGGATGCGTAATGGTGACTATATTCCCTCCCGTCTCGAAGCTCAGCATGATGCTGCTAATCTACTATGTGGTACAAAGACTCAAGCGAATCCAGAGAGTACCGTAGGCGTGCTAGCGATGGCTGGGAAGAGGTACAAGGAAGTTGCAAGATCTTTTACTCGTGTGACCACTGCAATTAACTCTTTGAATGTCTTTAGTATTCAAGTATTGGCCTCTCCAACCGATGATATGGGAACTTTACTAAGTGCGATTCATCGTGTGGAAATTGGGGGTGCAATGAAGCTTGCAAATGCTATTCAAGTAGCACAACTTGCTCTTAAACACCGACGTAATAAGACAGGTGAAGAGCTTAGTTGGTGATGATAATGGAAGAGTGTTTTTAAGATTATTGATCGGGGTATGATTTGTTACTTGACAGGTGGTCAGCGTGTTGTGGTATTCATCGGTTCACCTATTGAAGAAGATGAGAAACAGCTGACAAAGATTGGCAAATTGCTTAAGAAGAATAATGTGCGTCTTTGGTGGTTAGAAAAAATGTGGTATATACATTGTCACGAATTAATGCTGTTGCTGTTTTGTTGCAGATTGCTGTTGATGTGGTGAGCATGGGAGAGCTGGAGGCTAATGCTGCCAAATTGCAAGCATTCGTGGATGCAGCTAGCAGTAACAACAACAGTCACCTCGTGACGGTACCGGCGGGGGTATTGCCCTCGGACGTGCTGGTGTCGTCCCCTGTACTGCATGGAGACGATGGTGCTGCTGCTGCCGCGGCTGCTAGCGGGGTGGTGGTGGTGGTGGTGGTGGCAACGATTCGTTTGCCGAGTACGGCGGCGTGGACCCGACCATGGACCCTGAACTAGCCTTGGTACAGACAGATCAATGCAGTATTGCTGTTGGCATTTGTATGATACGAGGATCTAATGCTGCCTGTTTTGCAGGCCCTTCGTGTGTCGATGGAAGAGGAACGAGCCCGCCAGGAGGCTGCCCAAAAGCGTGCAGCGGAAGCTGAGGCTGCGGTTGCTCCGGCTACAGTTCCAATTCCTGAGCCTCCTGCACCATCCACAGAAGCCACGTCGGCACCAGTGGAGCCTAAGCAACCGACACAGACGTCAGCGTCCGAGAGTGCAGCGGCTGCTGCCCCGGCTGCCACATCAGCGCCACTTCCAGTACCAGCGTCCAACTTGCCGTTTATGGACCCTAAATTCGTCAACTCTCTGCTTTCAGGATTACCTGGCGTGGACCCAAACGATCCAAAGATTCAGGCCGCTATGGCACAAATGGCAAAGAAGGACGAGAAGAAAGATGGCGACGAAGAGAAAAAAGAAGACAAGTAGAAGGTGAACCAATTAGGTAGCGCTGGCGTACCGCTAACGTGGTGGTCAATTTCAACAACAAAAACGGAACTCTTACTGGTTTGCCATAAGATGTGTCTATTTGCTAACGGCGATGTGGTTGGTAATGACACCGAAGTTGCCTTTTTCTATTCGAAATGGACGCAACGTTTTCTAGTTTAGCGTTGCACGATTGCATTTTCCTCGTCCCATGTTCAGAGTTCCTCATATAAATAGCGAGTACTCTGACCACAACGACTCTATGTCTAGCTCTATCATTAGTCACTTGGTAAAAGCTGCCTGACCCCATCGATCGGTTCATTACATCGATCGATTGAATTCATCTCTTTTGTCTTGAAGCATTCCAGTCATTTCGCTTTTACTTGCAAGATACCTCTTTACTAGTTCGTACCAGCTCAAGCAAAATTATGCTTCAGCTTTTGCAGCGCAAGGAACCAATGCTAAGTGAGGAGTCAAAACAGTTTCTCAACTCACTGCCTTCAACATTCGTGAGTTTGTTTCGTAAACGAAGACATTTTTTACCTGTATGGCGTTCCCACAAATATTGTACGATGATCAAGTCGACGTTCCTGATCTACTACCGAGTTGGAAAGTCCGAGAATGCTTTACAACCAGGATTCTGGCAGCTCAACAAACTCAAATATTTGAATCTGCACAACTGCAAGATCAAGTTCTTTGATCATGACTCGGCTGGTTGTGTATTTTGTATTCTTCCCGAGTCAGGTAAAGGTGCTATCTATTTTGCTGCTGATACTGAAAAGGATCGGGCCAAGTTTGCCGCTCAGGTTGCTGCAGTACAACAACGTATGCCATCTTTAAACGAGTTTACAACCCATAAATTACTTGGTCGTGGTCACTATGGACGTGTGATTTTGGCGTCGTTTGCTGCGGATCAACAATTATATGCCATCAAAGAGATGAAACTTGGTCAGGTGAAGGCCAAGGTGGTATTTGCCGAGCGAGCTGTAATGGAGTGGACTGGAAATCACCCGTTTGTCATGGGGTTGGACTATGCGTTAGTACGAGGTCGCTCTGTATTTCTCATTTCAAAGTTTATGCAGGGTGGTGATCTCTTTGTGCACATGCAAAAGTGCGGTGGTAGTTTTCATGATGATGTCGTCCGCTTCTACGCCACTGAGTTGTTGTTGGCACTTGAACACATGCACAAAATGTGTATCATGCACCGTGACATTAAACCTGAGAATGTTTTGTTGGATAGCGACGGCCACATTAAGTTAGCAGACATGGGTTTGGCAAAGCGATTGGAATCACGGGAAGGACGTACTAAAACCATGTGTGGTACGGACACGTACTTGCCACCGGAAATGGCTGGTCGCTATTCTGGTGGTCATGGTCTAGCTGTTGATTTGTGGCAGTTTGGCTGCATCCTTTTCGAGATGCATGCAGGGTACCCGCCGTTCTTTTTGCCCCAGTCCAGCCAGGAGAGCACACATCAGCGAATATTATACGATCCGGTACGCTATCCGAAAACTATATCGCCCGAGCTCAAGAGTTTGCTGGTATCACTACTTGAAAAGCGTCAAGAAGACCGACTGGGCTACTATGGTGGAATTGCCGACATTAAGGCTCACAAGTTTTTCACTGGTGTCGACTGGGACCAAGTCTTGAAGCGCCAAGTCAAACCACCACTTGTGCCGGGTCCTCCCGGTGAGGAGTTGGTAGGCAACTTTGATCCGCAATTCACACAGCAGCCACACTCAATCTACGCACCAGATGAGATTGCGAGTTGTTTTGAACGTGTATTTGCTGGCTTTGACTACGTTCGGCCATTGAATTCAAGCAGGTCGATGATCTCAAACATATGTAATCGATTGGCAATATCACCAACTTCATTCAGCCGTGCCAGCACCAGTAAGGACTTGAGTGAGAATATTGAAGCCATTCCGGCCGAGCTGATAGTCGACTCGGTCAAAACCAAGATGTGACTAGCAAGCAGGAGAATTGTACGATAACTATTTATCTAAAAATTTTAAGCGGCATGTTTGTTAGCCTTTGTCTTGTTTTTTGAGGCTGCTGTGCTGATGCCGGCAATGGTCTTTAACATTCACTTCCACCCACTTGCATCAATTCACGATATCGTGCAGTCACTGCCTTCCGCAGACTTTCGTCGTTGACCCCTGCGAATTTGTTGTTGCGGCTGCAATTGTTGTTGTATTTGCTCTTGCTCCTGCCGGTACTGACGCGTCTGCGCATCGATCTGCCGCTTTTGCTCCTGATAATATCGCTCCGCCTGTCGCTGGGCCTCCAACTCTTCGTCCGAAATCATCATCTGCCCATCAGCAGCGACAGGGACGAACTCGTTCGCACTCGTCTCAAACGTGCGACCATCGTATTGCTTTCTGCTATCGTTTTGCTTGACGTTCTCTTCTGCTTTACTATTTCCAGTTTGGGCTGTTTTTGCAGCATTGCTACCATTGGCGTCGGCCACAATAGGCTGTAGGTTTCGAGGCTGTACAAGCTTTTTCCCGCGCGCTAGTTCCTCTTCTTCCTGCTGAAACTTCAGCGCTAGCAGATAGTCGGGATCGAGGTTGTTCTCACTTTGCTCAGCAGATTCTCCGAATAGCCCACCACTCGGTATCGTGAGCTCAGTAGCTTGAGTGTCAAATTCGCTGGTTACCTTTTGCTTCGCATTGTTTAGAGAAACACAGCCAGTAAAACTCAGGGCCTGAGCATTTTGTAATGCCTGCTCTTCCTCTTTCTCCTTCTCCCGCTGCTGCTGCTGCTGCGTGAGAATGTTCTTCTGTTGCTCGGAAGACGTTACGGGCCGAAACTGAGCATCTAGATACTCAGTGTCACCGTCAATTTCGTTCAGTAGCTCCCACACTACCGTGGGCTCGTCAAGGTACCCAGCATCGGTGACCAACAGGTACAGTGCTCCGTCAAACTATATGTAAAGGTGTTAACATCAAAATGCCATTAAGTATAATGACAGCAACAATCGAGCGAGAATCAATATCGCACCGACTTTTCTTGCCTACCTTGAAAAGAGTGGAAAAGTGATTGTTGCGAAAGAAAACACAAAGTTGACGTTCTCGAAGACCTTCTTGCAGCTTGACCAGCCCATAGAAGGTAAGTTGACTAGCCGTCGAGTTGAAAAAGTTCTCGAGAACGGGACCTTCCTGTAAAAGTGTTGTTGCTGTATCCAGCGCATCAGCGTCACTGATATGACGCTCCTTCATCATGGCCTGTAAGGTTTGTTGAGACGGACTGTTCGTTGGAGACGACATCGACGCGATCACGTTTGGAGACTGCGTTGTGCTTGATAAAACAGGTGCGTTATCGACATCAATCGATAGGTTCTGAAATCTTGTCGTTGGAATTGCCCCTGCTGCCGCTGGAAGTAGAAGCTGCCTCAGGTTTCGTCTCTTCTTCGTCTCCCAATTGTGTCACTTCAGTATCTGATGACAGCTCTGTGTCTTCATGTTTCTCCACCACCGATACCTCCTTCTTGCTCGCTTTTTCCGTCATAAGTACACCACGGTAATCCACCAACCGCTCAATCAACTCATTGTACGACTTATTCCCTATCACTTTCATCTAAAAAAAGACAAGAAACCATTTCGTCAAGTAAGTAAAACAACCACATACTTAGAAATAAACCTTCTATCCACATCATACTGTTAGCTCATCTTGTTCATCCAGTAGCCAGCCATGTACCAATACAATATCGAGCATATCAAATACTGCACAGGCGACTGTATACTCAAAATCTGTAATGCTTTTACAAAATCAGCATCATATTAAACATCAGACACCTCTAAAATCTCCATCTCTTTCTATACTCAACTTACTTGTGAAAACGAACGTTTACATCAAGACCGACCAACATACTTGGTAATAACTCGACGATATCCATCAATGTCTTTTCTTGTGTTAAACGTTGTAATTCACTTGCATTTTTCAACTTCATACAGTAATAACAACAATAACAATAACCTCAGTCTCAGTCTCCGTCTCTTTTTCTTTCAATCTGATTCCGTAAACGTACAGGTGGATTTGTATCCAATAGTCGACAATGTATCATGTGCATTAAATTAGAAGCATTTACATACCCACGAGGTTCAACGATCCCCTCGAGTGTTAATTGTCCACGTAATAATAACACGTTGGCAATTGCTAATAGTGGACACGGTCCATTCAAGTTTTGACACACGTAACTCACGGATTTCCCTAGAAATTGCGTCTGCTTAACGGCATAAGCTTCATCCATGAGGAATCAGATTTAATCTTGTTTTTTGTAGCCGTCTTGAATGATTAGTCCATTTAGCTTTTTATCCAATCGTAGTGGAGAATAGATGAACCCTTTTCCTCTATGAAAAATACGTGGAATTACACAAAAGTGTACCCATTGTGTACCCGATACGATGGATGGTAAGGACATGCAGCGGAAGCGACCGGAACTCCATGATCCTCATTTACCACGTTTTCCAGTGATTTACAAAGAACCGACATTTGAGCAAGTATATGAGAATATCAATCAAGCGGATGTTATTCAGAGTGTAGCTGTGGGTCTTGTGTCCTTCCCACTTGGGTACATTGTTGGTGCGTCTTGTTAGCATGTTGTTGTTTTGGATACAAAAAGGGTTACTCTACTGACGTATAGGGATTTACTTGCAGCTCATCAATTAAACCAGAGATTGGCACGTCCCGGGATGTGGTTTACTGGTATCATTGGTGCATTGGGTGGTGCTATGTTGGCGTATCAGAACTCGTCGCTCCGTCTGCAGGGGTTCGGACGCAATGACAAAGAGGTAGCACGCTATCAGGCCATGAAGTAAAAAAGGAAAATGAAAGGGACAGATCGTGGTGTACATATAAACGAGGCTTATGGGTATACTGAAGGTGTTTATAGCTTTCGTGATGGACTGCATGGGTGGGTGTCCACTTGAAGGAGTTACCACTTTGTTCAAGATTCATATGAACTGTGTTTGAATCTTTGGTTTTGTAATCGAGATTCACATGTTAACAGTACACGGATGAAGTAACATGTTATAAACCTACTTCATACCTTTACTTTCCTCCTACCAAAAGTAACACACCCTAGCCAATCGACCAAAACAAATGTCCGTCATCGATTTCCAGTCATTAGTGAATCCCCTTGACGACATTATGGAGCACGTTGATCAGGTACTTTTGACCCCTAAAAAACCTTGTGACTGTAATGTTCTAAATCATTGAGAAAGAGGAGAAAGAAAAAGATGCTTTATCTTTGATAAAAGATCGATTAGCGCGTGGTAAGATCAGACAGAGATCAGACTAAAGGGGAGGGAAGGACAAGCAATTGTCTTTTTATTTCGTTGTGGTGTTCTTGGAGCTGGTTGTTTTCTAGTGTCTCTCTCGAGTCTTTTTCGTACGAAAGACTGGAAGAAAAGAATAACTGAAGGAACTGGCTAGCTAGTTGGTTGGGGTGATGGCCCACCAAGGCTGTAATCCACACACAATCACTCAATGTTTTTTTTCTCTCTCTCTTGAGTGATTGTTGAGTCAAAAGCAGGAAGAGGAAGAAAACGAGATGGACGAGTGTCATGAGTAAAAAGCATAAGAGTCAATGTGTCTCTTGCTGGGTGTGGCCTCTCTTTTTTTCTTCTCTTCCTTCAGCTGAGACTACGAAACCCCGAACGACTGAAAACGTTTTTCAACCGATTCATCATCGGCAGAGACTCTTTGGATCTTTCTCGATTCACACTAAAGCTGTCTGCATCCTGAACCTACAGCAGAAGAAGAGGGAGAAAGAGAATTAGCTCACTCTTTTCTCTCTCTCTTTCTTTTGTCATTCTTCTCTCTCTTTCGTTCTTTATTGCTGTTTTGTTGTACCAGCAGAAAGACTCACTACTTGTTGTTGTTCTTAATACGATCATACAGACTGAGAAAGCTTACCAGAAGCAGCAGGGTGTCTTCCTTGCCAGCAAGAAATTTGCAGGCAAGAAGAAAGGCCCTCGTTTCTACAAGGAGGTGGGCTTGGGTTTCAAGACCCCCAAAAGCGCCATTGAGGGCCAGTACGTGGACAAGAAGTGTCCATTCACCGGCAACATTTCGATTCGTGGTCGTATCCTCAAGGGTGTCGTCCTCTCGACAAAGATGAAGCGCACGATTATCGTACGTCGTGATTACCTGCACTTTGTCAAGAAGTACAAGCGTTTTGAGAAACGTCACAAGAACGTGGCTGCCCATTTGTCGCCGGCCTTCCGCGTGAAGGAGGGTGACGTTGTCACCATCGGCCAGTGCCGTCCGCTCGCCAAGACGGTGCGTTTTAACGTGCTGGAGGTTGAGCCTGCATCGGAGACCAAGCCTATCAACGTACGCAAGCAGTTCCGCCAGTTCTAGGTGCTTTGTCTGGCTAAGCTCTTTTCGAATGAGTTGAATCTAATACACCAATCACCTCCTGATCGTAACGGGGATCCATCCATCAAACTCGTGTTTATTATCTTTTGTCGGTAGTCTTGACTCTCTCCACCTCGGCATCTTGTAGCAATCGGAGGGCCGCTTGATAAAAAACAACTTTTAGCTGGTGCCTTGATGAAGAATGAAGACGACATGTACAATCTACATGCCAAGGGTGTACAAGATAGATCAAACGACTGATGCTCTTACCACGTGTTCCAAACCTGCGGACTACAAATTCCTCCTAACATGTTTACGTTCCCGCCTGATAGTGTTCTCGGCAGCGTGAGAATTGTTTGTATTAGCATGACAAACCAGAGACGCAGGCAAACACTACACGATTGGAAGTTGATGGATGTAGATGATTACTTGGACAAAGAATGAAAACATTCTGGCGCAAGAACGCATGGTACAGCAACTGCATCGAGAGCGACGCATCAACCACGACGATGCGAGATATTCACGCAATACACCTACAAGAAGAAATGTGTAGCTATCATTGATTAACAGTGCACATACCACTTCGTAATCATCACGTTTGCCAGTATTTTTTCATCAGTATTAGAATAATTCCGGTTCGTCTTCAACTTCATCATCGTACTCCTCGGAAAGTAGGAATGAACTGAGATCATTTGGGTACTTTTCAGGCTGGCCAAACAGACTGAGTAGCACCGGCAACAAGACCAATCCATGAAAACAGCCCAGCACAACGATACCCAAATACATTCGGAAAAAGTACACGCGGAACAACATGGATGGCGCGAATGCAAGCACACCAATACCGCAAAACTTGGTAAGCGTTATGCCCGAGAAGATCGATGCACCGACACTGGTCAGAGCGTAGCGCGTATGGTCATTGGCAGTTGTTCCCAGGTGATGTCTCCTTGAGAACGAAAACTGATGAGCCATGTGCACACAGAATTCAACACCCAGCCCGATACAGGCAAGAAGGTTCACCACCGAGACTGCATTGATGGACGTTTCAGCACCAGGCCCGGCAAGCACATTCCACACGAAAAGAAATCCCAATTGCGAAAAGGCCATCGACAGCACGGACAGAGTAACAATGGTAGTCAACCGCAAGCTACCATCCATTAGCACAAAAACGACACCAAAGACGACTGCCAATGCCAGCAGCACACTCTGCAACGCTATTCCTTGGATGTATGTGTACTGCTCTTCGAATACGAACACAAGAGCGTATGGGAATGCAGTAGCGGCTTTACCAGCGCTCCACGCGCTAGTCACACTATGCAGGTAGTAGTACGAGTTTACAAACATGGTCTGGTTGCGCATCGCGTTTAGCTGAAAGCGCATCCGAGAACCAACGATAGTCAAATTATCCGCATTGTCGTCCTCGATCGCTTCGTTAAAAACAATGTCCTCTTCGTACTGCGCACCACATAGTCCAAAATACTGACAACACGACGAGTCAATGGAAATTTGCGTAAAATTCTTCACCAACGGGTAGAACAGTGCGTTAGGAGTCACATTCACCGTTGCTAAAGCACCGTACCCAAAATTGGGAGCTAAGGAAATGTCCCTCGCTGCGTCTTCAAACGAAACATTTGCGAGCTCGTACGGGAAAGGATCCATGGGTTGTGTCGGGCAATCGCTCAGACCTTGATCAATCTTCTCTTGAAGGAAAAACCGCATTTGGCGCCACTGGTTGAACGTGTGCAACCAAGAGTAAATGGGTAGCTCAATGTATTGGTGTAGACCTGAGAGCTCGTCTAATAAAATGTTCACATCTTGCTGCAGGCGCGCGTCTGTATAATCCGCAGCGCTGTCGAGAACAACATACGCTGGAGGTCCAGCCTCACCAAGTGCTGTCTGCTTCTTGAAATACTCATGAAGATAAAAGTCCGTAGGCACCGCAAGCTCTTGCTCTAATCCAAGTGGCAGCTTCGAAGAGCCAAAGGCACTGAGTGTTAAAACCGCGAAGGCTATCACAAGCACCAGTACTTTGGTGGAGCGTCGTAACAAGAAAGGAATGTACGTCTTCTCCACAAATCGCTGGATAATTCCAGCATTACTGCTCGCACGTGTCGATGCAGCTCGGTCGTCGACGAGCAAGTCATACTGATCGTGATTGTTCGATTCCATCCTTTCCTTTGCCATGGCAGGTGGAATGAGAGTGAGCTTTTGCTTCATCCATGGAAACAAATCGTATCGTCGGCCACGCACGCGGTGAGTGTCTAGCACAAGTGCTGAGGCAAACCACGTAATCTGAAGCACAAAGTTAGCAGCGACTGCCAGTCCGGCGACAACACAGAAGCTCGTAAGCGCCGGGATCCGCGTAAGTGCACCCACCAAGAATGCTAGTGTTTCAGCTATAGCTGCTACAACAATCGAAGGTCCCACATTCACCATCGTTTCTCCCATAACCTGCTTCATCATCAGCAACTCCTCCTCAGCCCGATCACGCGTGCTGCGTTTAGTACCAAGTGTTTCTAGACCACGCAGAGCTGCCAGTCGATCAAACTCGTTCGTTAAAATAAACATATTATCCACACCGATAGCAAGTATCAAGAAAGGCACAACCTCAATCGTGATCATCGTCACGTCCATTTGCAGTATCGAGCAGCTTATACCCATAGCAGCACCCAGCGACAACAGTACAATCACTATTCCTGTCAAACCGAGACCGAAACGTGAGCGCACTGGATCTTTAAATTTACCCAGCGAGGCGGACACGTAAAAGAACATGACCAAGTAGCTCACGACAACGATAAAAGCATTTTGATTGGTCTGCACGATCAACGAATCTGCAACAGATCGTTGAGCCATGTACGTGAGTTTCATGCCGTCAATACCAGCGTGTGCCAGCTCTTGGTCTTCCACACTGTCCCAGATAAACTCATCGCTACTATTTCCTCCTAAAGGCTTGAATGATTCTGCTGCTTGCTCTGCAATCTTAAGAAACACCTCTTTCTCCCACAATTCAGCATACCGTGTGTACGTCTCATTCTTCCAGTTATTACTCAGCAAAAAAGTAACCATTAAAGCCTTGGCTTGAGGTGTCGCTTCTCCACATGGGTCTGGATTTTGATGACAGTCATCTCTTGATAATCCACCAAATACCACGTTTCTTATCACTGGAATACCATTTTCGTCCATACATGGAGAATAGTCCTTAAGTTTTGGATCTGTCGTTTGACAAGCTGTCGTGAGCTTGACATCTGGATCAATTTCAAGTAATGTGACATTATTCCGCCAATACTGGAATGGACTAGTAATCAAACACCCTTTTCCTTGAATTGGTCGGTAACAAAAGTCTTGTAATTGTAGTGTCACATTTGCTTCGTCTTGACTATAAATAACGGTATTGGTAATTTGGGTCTGAATTTTGGTCATTTGTAACAAAAAGTGACGCTGGACCAAATCCAAAACGGCGTCACACGTCGCAGACTCAGATTTCCAATCTGAGTCCATTGAAAAGTCGTCGACATAAAAAAGGAGTTGCTCAATGCGAAAAAAAGGGCCAAAAAGTTCATCAAAGTGAGCTTGTTCCTGAGCTGCGATACTGTGTGGAGGCACCCAGAGACCCTGCGGATCCGTCTGCAAATGCATATTCACTAAACCAAGACATAAGATACTGCTGCAGATGAATCCAGAGACGGACACGAGCTCAGGAGATCCACTACAGACCGCCCCTAAGCGATAGAAGACGCCCATATTAAAGCTTCGTGAGGGGATATTGAAGTGGAATTTTGACCAATGAGACGACAGAATTTAGATTAAATAGATTAGAAGTTGAGGTAGTCAACCTCAAGTAAAAAGTGATGTCGCGAGGACCCAATAGAGCGTATTGGCCGTTGAAAGTCTCAATTCACTTGGTTTTAGTATACACTTCAAGACCTGATACCATGCCATAACGTCAATCAGTCTTTAATTGTCTCCGTATCACTCACTGATAATGGAAGAAACTTCCTCGTCCTTTTTGTTTAAAACTGGTTATTTGTACCAAAAGAGAAAATTTAGTCGCACGTGGCGTTTACGTTTCTTTGTACTTGACCATAATGTCCTTTCTTATTATAAACATCAAGGTGATGCCATGCCTAAACGTCGTCTTATGCTTACTAATTGTCACATTTGTACGACTAGAAAGAAGAAAAAGCTCTATAGTTTTCGTATCTCACACCCTCAGGCATTTCAAGTTTATGATTTAGCAGCATCAGTACCAAGTCAATTGGATCAATGGATTCACATGCTTCTCCAAGCCGCTTCTTTGGTACAAAATGGACATGTTACTGCTCAAGAACTGCTCACGTTGAGCCGATATTCGGTATTTTGTCTTGATGATTCGTCAATTAGAGAGCTCATGAATGTCCCAGGAGTTGTGATCCCCAGTGTCTATTGTGATCGGATGGAACGTCTCTTGACTGAGTTTATTACGTATGCTAGAGACGACACAGATAGATGGCAATTGCAGACTCAGCAACGAGGAGTTCACGTCTACGTACGTCAAGCTTCTAGACTAGGAGTGCTCAAAGGTGTGGGGTTTATTGCTCAGCACCCGTACAAGGTACTGGAACTGGTGCTAGATCTTTCAAGGCGACACACGTACGACCCACAGCTATTGGCTACGCAGCGTGTACATGTCTTTAATGATCACACGTGGGTGGACCATTTAACGTACAAAGCTGCGTTTCCTGTTGCTGCAATGGAATTTGTCAACCTCACGCATTGGCGCGTATTGGCTGATGGATCCATACTCATTGTGGCGACCGACGTGGGCGACAATACCTTTGTCAAGAACCAGAAGCCGCACATTGTGCGCAGCAATATCATCATGACTGGATTTTTAATCACGCCCAATGAGGACTACACGGGCGTCAATGTCACGTACATCACCAAGGTGGACGTGAAAACGGGCATCTCCGCCAGTTTACAGACCAAGATGCTCATCAAGCAGGCATTCGTGGTGAATAGACTGCGCAAGGTTCTGGATCAGGACGAGAGCCTTCGGCAGTGTGAGCGTGTCACGAACGCTACACTGTTGAACATTTCTACGACTGCGTGTGTTGAAGACGAGAATGAAGAAGCTTCTGCAATGCGATTACAATCAACGAAAACTCAGGATCAAAACAGCCAACGCGAGCCTCTTTTAAGTGGGTGCCCGGTGGTTGTTCCGGAAGAGGGCTTCCCTGCTGTCTTGGAAGAATACAGCGAGATTATCGTGAAGACAGTGGCACAGATGGAAGCTGAATTGAACAACGAAACGTCATGGGACTTCATTGGAGACAAAGATGGTGTCAAAGCCTACACCAAAGTGGACGGCTCGCTGACAGCGGCCAAGGGTGTGGGCTTTTTGCCGTATCACCCGCGTGTCATTTGGGACCAGTTTATTGACGCCACCAAACGAAAACTCGTGGACCATCAGCTTGCTCTTGGCAGGAAGCTAAAAACATTGGATGCACAGACCCATATCGACTATCTAGAGTACAAGCCCATCTTTGTGGTCGCTGGTCGCGACTTTTGCAACCTCGTGCATTGGCGCGTGCTTCCTGGTGGCACAATTATTGTGGTCGTGCAGAGTATTGAAGATCTGGAGCTCTGCCCGCTCAAAGAACCTAAGGTCGTTCGCGGTGATCTGCACCTGGCTTGCACCAAGATAGTGCCTAATGCGGCGTATGACGGCGCCATGGTGACTACCATGGTCAAAACAGATCTCAAAGGCAGCATTCCTGCTCGCATTGCTGGAAAAGTAGCGGCCGAGCAGCCGTTTGTTATTTCCCGGATGGGTGAGATTATTAAAGCAAGACGCGATCTCGCCGAGGTGGCGGCGCAAGGAAAGTTAACCAACACGGTGTTCGAGCTTCCGAACAAGCAGTCATTATCATCAGGCTCGGTAAAAACGGTCAGGTCCTCCGTCATAAAGGGAGCGGCAGGAAGCCGCAATCTGGGTACTTCATTGTCTGGTTCTGCAACTTTTCAGTTTTCAGGGAATCTATCGCGAATGGACACATTTCCAAGAACATCAGGTGGAAAGCTTAAGGTGTCAAAAACGCAGGCGAGCAAGCCGGAGACAATTGGGGTGTCGGTCGAAGTGATGGACCATTTGAAAACGGAGCAGAAGACCATGAGTGACGTTGCAATGTACGCTATTCAATTTGGAGGTGCAATTCTGGCGCTAAAAAGTGTCGATCTTCCCACAGCTATGCACTTTGTGATCCTGTCAATTCTCTTCTTCGCATTAAAAGCTCACGTCGGTCCAAGTCAAACGTCGTCTCAAAGGAAAACGATGATCTCAACTTTTGGACCACCAGACAGCGACATGATTTTCGGTACACTACAGCTGGACATGACTAAAGCTAACCAGTACATCGCAGCGCGCCGAATAAATTCTGATTGGCATCTTACAGCCACGCACATTGTGCTTCTTGCTTTGGGCAAGGCTTTGAGCATGGCCCCGTATATGAATGACCATTTGGTTTTTGGTAGCTATTACCCCGCTCCTACGGTGGACATCTCTTGTCTGGTTGCGCTTGGTGACGGCAAAGACTTTGGAGTGTGCCGACTCCGTGATATTGACAAGATGAACTTGCAGGACGTCGATAACTGTCTGCGTGGCGTTTCTACTAAAATGTGTAGTGACCAGGGGGACCGAAAAAAAAGCATGAGTTTGCTGCCAACCTGGGTCATTCGGCTCATGCGTAATGTCTTCGGGTGGCTTGGGGGTGCCTGTGGTGTTCGCATTCCACAGGTGGGTAAAGATCCGTTCATGTTTGGCAGCTGTATGGTGACATCCGTCGGCATGATGGGGTTGGACATGGCGTTCTCTTCTATTCCATTGTATTCGCAAGTGCCCATGCTCGTGAACATCGGTTCAATCTTGGACAAAGCCGTAGTTGTGAACGACAAGGTTGAAGTGCGTCCAATGCTAACACTTACCACGACAGTCGATCATCAGTACGCGAACAGTTGTGAGGTGGCTCGTATGGCCAAGAGCCTCAAGGAGTTTGTCGAGAACCCGAGCTTGCTTGAGGTTATTCACGGTGCTTAGGTGCTCAACCCCGTTGGGTCTTTTCATGATATCCTAGTCATAGGAAAGAAACGACACTGCTCGTAGTTCTTCAGTGGAAGAGAACTATCAGCATTTCAACCAAACCTCACTCGTTAATACCAAATCAACTTTATTTTCAATCTGTGCCTGTGTGTCAAGCAATTCAAATGGCGATCAAACTCTCAACTTCTCAAGGTGTATGGTGTGTGCATGTACTGATAGCAGAAAACACTGAGCTTGACCGCTTTTCACGACCTTCAAATCGAATGCGCTCGTAATCTCTTATATACCTTATGTTAGGTAAACAATTACAGTTACTTTTTGCCTGTCTCTCTACATGTACATCGGATAATGTACCGTTTCTCCTATACCCCCAGTCACTTCACAGTCGCCATTTGTCATTACTAAACTCGACCACCAGACCTCAAGCACGTCTATAATCCAAAACCATGCGACTTCCCTGCGTCCCGATATTTTGGGCTGTTACTACCCGTCCAGTGGGTGTTGGTGCACATGCAGAGCCGTTGGACGCCGTCACCACCGATGGTCAATTTGAAGTTCAGAGGCACTTAAGGGTCCAAGAACGTGCACGTGACGAAGACGTAGAAGAGAGGATAAATGACCTCAACTTTGGCGAAGAAATAGTAAGCTCGACTGACCTCGAACATGCGGCTAAAAACATTGATTTCTCGCTTCTAAACTCGCATCTCCTTGAAGGTGCATCAGATTCCACGATTACCAATACCATGAAACGCCCGGCAGAAAAATTTGATCTAAACTCGATTCCTCCCGAAGGTATGTCAGATACCTCGAATACCTATGAAGGTCCGGCAGAAAAATTTGATCTAAAGTCGATTCCTCTCGAAGGTATGTCAGATACCTCGAATACCTATGAAGGTCCGGCAGAAAAATTTGATCTAAACTCGATTCCTTTCGAAGGTGCGTCAGATACCTCGAATACCTTTAAAAGGTTCGGCAGAAAAATTTGACCTAAGCTCGACTCCCATCGAAGGTGTGTCAAGTTTCACGATCACGAATACCTTAAAACGTCCGGCAGAAATGCTGGAGCCCGAGAACAAAATCGCCAAGATTCGTAAAATTGTGGTGAATGATTTTTTGGCCAAAGCAAACGATGCACAATTGCTGAACATGGAAACGAAAGAAGGTGAAAAGCCTAAAATGCCTTTCATCGACGTTATGTCACTCTTAAAAAGGAAGATTGGGCCACGATCTTTAAAGAAGCGAACAAGTACTTTTTCAAGAATCATATCGACCCCGAGGATGTTTTCGATTTATATGGGCTTAAGTTTGCAGGAGACACCCTTTTCGAACAGCCACAGCTAGTCTACTGGGTAGAGTACATGGGCGATTCCAGCAAAGGCAACATGCCGGCTCAAACAATGCTTTCCAGACTGCTAGAGGCTTATGATATCGGACCTTTGGTGGTCGCTGCAACCAGGGTGCCAAAAGACAAAGTCGCGTTGCGAGTGGAAGCTGAAATAAGAGACCTCTGGTTTTGGCTAGGTCGTACTCTAGATTATGCCTTCACTAACCTCGGACTTGACAAGGCCGGAGACACCCTTTTCGAAAACCATTTACTCCCCTTTTGGACGAGCTACCTTACCTACTACAATTCTAATGTACACGAGACACTTCAAGTATCGATGTGTTCGATATTGGAGAAGCATTCGCGTCCGTATTTAAAGACACTGTTGTATACGGTTAAAAACCCTGATGTTACTTTGCATCTAGAAGAAGAATTGAAAAATAAGATGCTGAAGATCTGGATCGATGATGAGACTCCTGTCGTGAGAGTGCTCCTGAGCGTGATTATAGTGAAAACAGAAGGGAATGAAAATACGCTGTACGGAAGCGCGCTACAAAAAGCTGCAGGTGTTTATATTAATCGGCGTCAGTAGGCGAGGTGAACAAGTACTTCGCAAGGGTGCGCTTGCCCCAGTGAAGCTGCTATATTTGTGATTTGTACGCTTAGTCTTCGGAGATCGAAGAACTTTTGTGGCTTCGCTACTTCACAAGCCTCGACCAGTCTTCAAAGTGACCTACTTCATAACTTAAACACGTTTCCAACGTTATGAGTCTAGTTGATATATTTGCTCTACGTATTATACTTGTTTAAAAAATGTAACGGGGTTAATAATATTGACACTTATATGAAGTGTGTAACAGGGCATCTAGTTACACGCAAACATTAAGTAATATACTTAATGTTTGGTCTAAAAGTATCCATGATTACTTTTGACCTGTCACTTGGGTGCGTTACACAAATGTGATCCACCCGCGTGAATGTGATATCAATTTATGGATTCACATGAGAAGGGATGACGCTAGTTGAAGCCAGACATCGTGAAGCATGTGCCAAATCTAATAAATTTAAAAAAATGCTGTGTTTAATATTGCAATATGTAATGATGCATATGAACATTTATGTGTGCCATCGTTTCGTATATTACTTTTATAAATTAAAGTACGACACATGGACACTCGGGGATGGACTAAATTATATAATGACAATCTCCTCATGTAACAATTCATACAAAATGCAGATACAATACATATGGGTCACATCACTTATTGTAATAAACTCCGATATAATCTGATGAGAACGCTTGCTTTTGCCAGCTTTCTAGTGTAATATATAAGCACTGAGCCCATGAATTGAAACGCTTATAAAGCATGTGTCTTATTTATTATTTATAAATAAGCTGTGTTGATATAGCAATATGTAATGATAGGTCAAAGGTTAATTACGCATCGTTCTGTGACTTACTTACGTATAGGAAACACGTACCCAGACGCACTTAGCTCAAATAATGGTCGTGCAAAATGCAAAATCAGCCAATCCAAAATTAGCGAATAATGCAAAATTAGCCAATCCACATGCCGGAAAAGGATCGCCCGGACGGACAATAACTTTATTATATAGATTAGATAAGTATAGCTCAGTTGAATTTGCTAAATCGAAAGCACCGCGCACGAGAAGCTCTAAAAGCTTCTGCGTGACGCCGGTGACTTCTTGTTTAGAAGTTCGTTGCGATCTCGCTTAAGCGAGAGGCAACTGGTGGTACGACTGCTTAAGCAGTCGACCAACCGCATATCCACCCTCGCACGCGAAGGTAAGACGGTCTAACCGCTTCCTCGCTTGTGTTGAAGGTGTGTGCTAGTAGCACGAGGCATTTTTGTAATGGACACCCTCCGATTATACTGATTACAGTATAGTCTACTTTCACTGATTACAGTGAAAGCAGGTGCCTCAATTACCTCACGTACACGTGAGCAGAGGAAGGGAATTAACTAAACAAACGCTTAGTTGAGAAGAAAAGGAAACTGTATTTAATATGGTTAACTGTCTAATAAAACTAATCTGTTATAACCTATGTTAACTATATTAAACTACAACTATGTATGTTGACAACTTGCCCTCCACTCATTGCGCGCGTCCATCGGTCATTGGTCAGCGCCCTGGCTGACATAATGGCCCATATCAACCAATGATAGGGGCATCTCCAACTTCAGGGAGATCTAGGAACAATATTATAAGTAAAGATAATATTGTCAAAATATTATTAGTTATAATAATATTTTTAATTGACACTTCATATAAGTGTCAATATTATGTAACGGGCTCACCCCGTTACATCACCTCCCCCCTCAACCAACAGTCACATTAGTGACTGTTTAGTGACTATAAGAAAGGAGCACTTGTTATATTTTATTTTATTCCAACATTTTCTCGCTATGACAAAGTCAATGCGCGTCGCTGCTAAGGCAGCTAAGAGCTCGGCTGCACGCCTGTGTGCAGCCGCTACTGAGGCTTCACAGCCTCAGCCAGCAGACACTAATGTGTCTGCTGGAAGTCAACATCAGCCTGCAACGCCTGTTGCAGGTTCACGTAGCGCTTCGCCACGTGAAGTTGTTGACCCAGAGTTAGTCGTTGAATACTCTGGTGAGTCGGATGACGCATCCGACTCAAAGCCACCTGTGTCACTCCCGGGCTCTCCCCGGGGTGATACCTCGTCGTCAAGTGTTACGAAGAGAGATCGTGGTACATTGAGTGAATCAATGTACCGTGAAATGTTCGGGTCGTCTGATGAATCAGACGACTCGTCAAACGAGTCGAAGGATAGTGACTCGGGTGGGGACCGTAAGGGTGATGTCAGTGCTTCTACTGACATCAATAATCATAGTGTCGGTACTTCTGTTGACACTAATGCTCGTGGTGTCGGTACTTCTATTGACACCACGCAGGAGGATTTAGACCGCAACGTATTGCGTCTTGCTCCTGATCGCAAGCCATAGATGCTACCTAAGCATCTGATTGATCGTTGGTCTGGAAAGACCAACGAACGGTTCCCATACCGTTGTTTGATGCGTCAAAGCTTCATGGCTTGACGCCAGTGCGAAGAACTTTCGCACTGAGAACGACTATTACATCGATGTATTTCTTGAACATCGATGGTATGGCTCAGACAAGAAGCGTGAGGCTGACACGTTCCTCCAATCTTGGAACGCGTTTATCACCAACGTTTTAAACGTTGGGAAAGAGGCTTGGTTTCAAAGACTTTATGCTAGCCGCAATAAGTTTGAGAAACGAAGTACGTCCGGTGAATGCTATCGTTTGCACCGGTTATCTAGAGAGGCAGGCCTGTTATGACTCTCTTGGGGCGACCCATGCCCGGGGTGCCTGAGCACCTCGTCAAGAGCACCTAAGGAGGCGTACCTCCTTACTGAGACCTGGTGGAGGGCTCGCATCTCTTCTGAGATGCGTGAAGGAATTGCTACTTTGCAATCCCTTTACGAGCGCGCTGGGCGCTCGTTTTCCGATGGCCCTTCACCATCGGGTGTTCATTGTCGTACTGTTCGACAAGGACAAGAACGTCGGCCATCATTTGGGCCCGAGGTTCCCAGCTATCCGCCGAAGGCGGATAGCCACGCCACCGGACGAGATAACTCGCTCGAGTTCACTTCATCTCGCGGTGATTTAGTAAGCGTTCCACGAGGAAGCGCTTCCCGCCATGGGAGTCCACCAGCGGATGCGGTGGTGGAGGAAAAACCCTGTCCGATTCTTCTATCGGACTTGGCTGCTGAGTTAGACGGGTTTGCCCGTGTAACTCGTGAGCTCCGTTGTGATGTTGGTCACGAACGGGATAAGCGTCGCCGCTTAGAGGACATTGTGCGACAGCTTGGGTTTGACCATGAGAAGTCTCGGGCAAACAGTGCTGTCGCACTATTGGAGTATGAACGGCGGCTTCATTCTCTAAGTAACGAGCTGGCGACAGCTCGTCAGGAGATCGTCCTATATCATGGGACGATCTCATCTCTACACGACCAGGTATCGAATCTGGTTCGTGACAACAAGAATCTGAAGGGGATTCTTGAGAGTAATGGCTATCTTCGTCGTTCGAAGAAGCCGCGTACTGAACGTACGGACGAAGACGTCCCACGTAAAACGTAGGATGCGTACGCATCCTGCGTGGCAACTCGATCGTGTATGCGTTGCCTAGGCGGCACAATACACGAGACGGGACGATGTACTTAGGCAACAATTTATTGCTGCCCACGTTAGTCACTACATGTGTAGGTAGGTTTACTGTTGACAGTAAAACTAAATCACCTTCAATAAATTTCTGAGCATTTGCCCTTCCATTATTGTCTGCGTTTCGCTTTTGCTTATCCACCGCTTCTGCGATGGAGTTTTGCACGAAACGGACTACCGCTTCACGAGTCAGCAGGAAATCCTCAGCTGACTCGTTGCTTTTATCTGCAGTGCATTGTGAGTGCACTGCAGAGATATCGGTTACTAATTCAGCGAGAACATTACTGATTTCACTTGTGATACCTCGAACAATGCTGATATCTTCAGCATCGTTATCAGTAAGAGCTTCATCGCTCTCAATTTCTTCCTCTTCACCGAAGTCGAATGGTACGACTTCGGTTACTTTCGCGACGACGTAATGGTCGACGCGAAAGTAACCAGATGAGCAAGAGCCAGATTGGTTCTCGCTCGAGCGAGTCCCTCCCCCCCCCTTAAATTAGAGTCATTTTCTATTCAGGTGGGGACACGTGGATGGCAAAGGCCATTCACGTAGAACGGTGTATGCGTCGTGGAAGCATGCACGGAGTTGTTGATGGCGAATTCGACCATCGACAAGAACTCGCTTCAACTCGTAAACGAGTGGACGTACCCTCGAAAAAATGTCTTCGAGGACGCGATTGGCGCGTTCAGTCTGACCATCAGTTGCTGGATGGTCAGAAGTAGACACTGTGAGCCGTGTTCCAAGTGTTTGGAACACGGAACGCCAAAACTCAGCCGTGAACCGGGGGTCCCTATCGGACACAAGTTCACGGGGTAACTCGTGCAATCGAAAGATTGTATCGATAGACACTCGAGCACAGCCCTCTGCTGTGATCGACTACGGTACAGCAACAAGATGTACCATCTTGCTGAACCTGTCTACAAACACGAGAATACCATTATTCCCGTGAGCGTCTTTGGGAAACACAAAGACGAAGTCCATTGATACGGACTCCCAGCACTCTGCCGGAACAGTTAGAGGCTGCAATGGTGCACTGAGTGAAGGACTAGGCTTCACTCGTTGACACACCTCGCAAGCACGCACGTACTTGCGCACAAACTTATACTGACGTGGCCAATAAAAGTCGCGACTGACCGTGAGGTAAGTCTTCTCACGGCCGCGATGCCCACTTATTGGTGCATCGTGACATTCAAACATGATCCGTAACCTGAGATCATGTTGTGGCGGTACAACGACACGAGGCGTGTCGTTGTTGACGGCTGTGTAGTACAGTAAGCCGTCCCGCTGGGTGTATCGATCTAGAGAAGATCGATACATGGCAAGCAAGCGCTTCTTAGCTTGCGTGGATGGGTTGTTTGAGGTAC